AATCATTAATTGGCTTCCTCCTGCATACCCCCTACTGGGGATCAGGCCAGCAACCTGGGCATGTGCCCCTGGCCAGAATCGAACCTGGGACCCTTCTGTTCGCTCTATCCACTGAGCCAAACTGGCTAGGGCAAGAGAGTAGATCTTAAGTTATTACCACATACATAGACACAGTGGTACCGATGTGAGGTGAAGGATGTGCTTATTAATTCGATTGATCATTTCACAATGTATAGGGATGGCAAATTATTTGTACACCTTGAATATATTCAATTTGTATCGGTCAAGTACCCCTCAATACTGCTGCGAAATAAAGAGAAAAAAGAATAAATGTTCAGAAATCACAGCGTTTTCTGCAGGTAAACTATTTATAGACTCTTTAAAAGACTGTGGGTGTTTTTTAAAGAGTCTATGGGGGTGAAGAATGAAACAAAAGGCTCCCAAGAAGGGAACAAAGAAACTATTTGTTTGAAACTTTTTCTCTTATTAAACATCAGTGTCTGGGTATCAAGTTTAGATAACACCAAAATTGTAATAGTAATTGTAATTTTATTTTTAAAATATCTTTTATTGAGTTTTTACAGAGAGGAAGGGAAAGGGAAAGAGAGCCAGAAACATTGATGAGAGAGAAACATCAGCTGCCTCCTGCCCACCCCCCACCCGGGAATGTGCCCGCAACCAAGGTACATGCTCTTGGCCAGAATCAAACCCGGGACTCCTGAGTCCACAGGCCGACGCTCTATCCACTGAGCCACACCGGCTAGAGCAGTCATTGCCATTTTAAATGTCATATTCCAAGGGCAGCCATACTCTCTAACTTTATCTACCCTTATTTGAAAACCATGCCTGACATGTGTAAAGATTAAAAGTCTGATTTCTGTTTATTGATCATTCACTTAATTACTGCTATACAGTAAGTTCAAACCCAGGTCTCCAGAGAAGTGTATCAGTTTGCATTCTCATTTATTAAGAATGTAAACCTAATACTAGCTCACGTCCAACCCGATACCGTGACACCTTCCTGGTATGCTGTTGGTTTTCACAGCTTTTTAATTCCAACAACATGTCTCCTGACGGAGCCGCCTCCTCTGAGCCAGAGGGGTCCCCCAAGTTTCCCCTCACGGCGAAAGATCTGTCCACGTGAATTCCTTTTATGTCGGTGTTTTAATTGAACACTAAAAAAGTAACAGTTCGTGGAATACAAGATTTAGTGTGGCACATAAAAACATAAAATGACAATAATAAAAGAATCCTCTCGCTCACATAAATTAAGCCAAAGCCCTAAAAATTCAGCTTATGAAGACCATATATCCTGCAGTTGATTTTCCATTTTCAGCCCCAAAACGCAATAAATTACGGAGCCTGCGCCTGGGCCTGGTGCCGCTCCGACACATTCATTCCCCCCCAGAAACATCTCGGCCGTGGCTTATCATATTTGTCTTTCCCAAATCTTTATTAACTCCACCAAAAGCGCTTATTGAAGGCCTACCTTCCCCGTGATCCCAGGGGCTTGCAGCCAGTAAAAAAAAAAAACAAAACACAAAACAAATTAGGACTGTGCTATTCACATACATTCCGGGAAAATCAATAGTTTTAATTTTCACGGGGAGGCCCACAATTTTCCACTGACGGCCTCAGCAGGTTTTAATGGACACAAACAATTTACTTTTACTGTTTTAATTGTTCTTAGTCAATCGCTTTTTATTGCCCTTTACATCTGACTAAACAAATGAATCGAGCTGGATTCATAAATGATGGCTTGGTAACATGGCCGGGCCTGGCTGGTTCCCTATTTTGAGTCTCAATGGCAGGCGTTCTGGATGTTAAAGCAGAAAACGGAACCAGTCAAAATGGCAGAACAGTGGCGAGGGGCACGGCAGGGGGAGGGGAGTCAGGAGGGGTCCCCTTCTCCTACCTGAATGCCAAGTGCCACCCAGCGGTCCCCTGGAGAGAGGTGAGAGGTTCCGGTTCCTGGGAGCCTGGAGGAGGTCAGCTGAGCTAACTAGGTGCACAGGCTGCTGGATGTGACCCACGGTGCCTGGAATCAGGAAGACCCTCTCCAGCCGCAAGCTGGCACCGCCCACGGGCATCGGGGGCACCTCTGCGTCTAGCAGACCAGGATGCGGAAGCCCCTTCTCCCTGAGCGACCCCCAAAGTCACAGCTCCATGGCGCCTCACGGGAGCCTGGCTGGATCCCAGCAGGTCTGACTTTTGCAAACTCAATTCCGTGCAACGGAAATAAACAAACGGGAGGATGGACGGGTGGGAAGGGGACTCAGCGCGGATGGTTGTGCCTGTGTCCCCGGGGTGAGGACCTGTCCTCCGGGGACCAAGATTGGAAATGGGACGCAGCTGCCCCCACAGTGGCTCTGAGCCTGAACGGACTCGCAAGCACGCCAGGTGCTCAGGGGAGCAGCACAGGCCACAGCGGGAGGTTAAGGGGGTGAGGGGGTCCTGCTGTCTGTCGCAGGTGAAAGAAGTGACTTTTCTTCTCCGGAGACCTGGGTTCCAGCCTCCGAGGCCACAGAAAAAAGGTGTTGTGGCCGAGTCCCCCTTCTTCCCCGCCAATTGTCCACATCGGCAGGAGTGGGATGTTCTTAAGGCCTTTAACCAAAGACCTGGTTAATCACAGCCCAGGACTGACGGGAGGCGGGGAGGCGAGGCTGCAGGTGACACTCGTTAGGAGTGGATTTCTCTTCAATCCTGAGGGGGGGGCGTAGGGGGAAGCTCGTTAATAAACCACGTTTCTTACATTTCTGTGTCTCCTCGAGTTTCCCGCTATTCATAAAATGATGATTTCTTTCTGAGGTCTCTTCAGTTTTCTTTCAGGAGTTGATTGGCTAAATTAGATTCGGGGAAACCCTCGCATTGCATTGCAAATTACGACCCAGTGTTAGTTACATAAACAAGTGATTTAAAAACAAGCCAGCATGGGAGGATCTGGCATTGGACAGACCATGTATGTTGGCTTTATCTCCCTCCACCCTGTGGTGAGCGGCACAGGGGACCCCCTCATCCAGAGGCTCATGGGGAGCCCCATGAGCAGCTCCTCGGCCTGGGCTCTATGCTGCCTGCTCAGGGAGGCCTGGGCTCTATGCTGCCTGCTCAAGGAGGTGTTCTTCTCGCCGCGCTGTGCCCCTCCCCCATCGTTTTAATGAGAGCGTGAGGGGAGCAGAGCTATTTCCCTAAGGACACCAACCCCTCTGTGCCCGGCAGCGCTTGCCTGTATAGTTCATCCCAGGGGCGCCTGTTCCCTGGGAGACAGGGCATGCGCCCAGAGGGCGCCGCTGCGGGAAGCTCACCGGAGACGTGGAAACCAGGCCAGGCGCTCCCCCTGAGGGAGCTTCTCTCTCCACCTGCGGGGCTGAGCAGCAGAACCGATTCTCTCTGCCCGGCCGGCCGGTCCTGAAAGAAGTGATGGGCAGGCGGCTTCATGGTGAGCGTGAGCATTCCCAGGGTCTTGTCTTCATCAAGTGGTTCTATTGCAAAGTGTGACGCCGAGGCTCAGGGGCCCCGAGGGAGAGGGAGAGGAGTTTGGGCTGGAAGAGGGTCTGTGGGAGGAATCTATGCCCCAGAGGCACGGCATCCCGGCAGAGGATGCCTGTGGGGAACATTAGGGTCCTCAAAGACAGCGGGGTTGACGCCCACCCCCACTTTGGTGACCCAGGTTCTTCAATGGGTGTGTTGTGTGGTTTTCAGACGCACCTTACACATGGGAGGGTGGGCCTCCTCACAGCCGATGTCAATGACCACCGCCAGGCAGAGACGGCAGCAGTCCCCCAGGGGTTTCATCCTGAGCATGATCCTGACCCCTAAACGTGTTCATAGGTATACCCGTTTGTAGGAGGCAGGGCCATGGGGAGGCTTTCTTAAGGTGACCAAAGCGGGACAGTCCCGCCAAAAGCGGGAAGTCTGGTCACCCTCCTTCTGCAAGAATGACTGCCAGCAAGCAGGGTCACATGGTGAGTTCAATTCCTTACTTTTTGCCGACAGACCTTGGGTTTCTACCTTTCTACGAAGGAAGGGTTTAATGACCCGAGAAGCAGCAGGTAACACAATGAAGGGAAAAAAATCAACAGGGCAAAGGGCTTTCATTTTCAAGGCGCCCCTTCAAAAAAACCCAAAAAAACAAAAATGAGAAACCACTTCCAAACATGTCAAATAGAAAATAATTTATTTCAACTTCATTTTCCTTAATGTTTGTGAGTAAGCACGACGTTGTGAACTCTGCCTGTAAAAAGAGCCTGTCCCTTCGCATCTATACAGAGAAAGGTCAGCGAGGAGAGCGCCTCAACAGTCCACACACCGTCTCCGCCCGCGACGCCCCCCTGTGGGCGCACCTCGGAACCACTGGCTGCGATATGTGCACACGTACTCTGCACTCCTGCGACTCTGCTCCATCCTCAGCTTTCTGCTTACACCTCGACTCCCGCCTGGGAACTTGAACCAGAAACATGTGTACAACTGTGAAACATACATTTAAACACGGCTGGTTTGGTTATGTGTATTCAACCATTAACCGGTTGGGTGGTTTTGAGCTGAGGCCCTGACCTTAATCATATATTAATGGTCACTCCTAAGAAACACATTCAGGAAAGGAACGTTATAAAACAGGATTCCGTTAAAAAAATACATAATGGTAGCTGTATTCTCGGCAGGAAAAAAAAAAAAAAAGCATGTGTAACTTCTCCCATATGAATATAGTTTGAACACATTCTCCCATGGAAGGATGCTCCAAAAGACCTTTTTGAAATTGAAGCACTTTCTGCAAAAGGTCACAAGTAGGAAAGTAGCCCTGCTAGCTGAGCAAGGCCCTGCTTGTCCATAGTGCCTCCAGAGAGAGCAGTTCTGGGTGGCTTTTCTCCACTTTCAAATAGAGCCCTGCCCCCTGGCAGTGCAGAGGTGGACTGTACACATGACCTTGTCATCTGACACACAGAGCCTTGCCGCCTTGAACGAGGCAGGGTTTTCTACCCCCAACGGTCTTATATCCAGGACGCTTAGACAGTCGTCACGGAGAGGAAGGAATTGTACACCCTGGTGCCGTCCGGGGACTTGGTGCCATGGGTCAGGAGCTCCTGGATGGTCATCCAGTTGTCCAGGATCTTCTTGTTCCTCCTCTTCATCATCTTCTTGTGGCTCAGCTCCAGGATGCTCACCCCCCTCCTGTCCTCCTCTGTGGCTGCAGCTGGCTGCTCCCCGCGGGCGGGCCCGTCCAGCCGGCTCTGCAGCAGGAGCGCGCGCCGCCGCCGCTGCTCCCGGGCGCGCGCCACGTGCTGCTTGCGCTCCTCGCGGCTCCAGTAGCGGCCCAGCTTCAGGTCGCTGGCCGCGTCGTCGTCCGTGGTGACCCCGCTGCGCTCCTCGCGGATGCGCAGCGCGCGCTCCCGCAGCAGCCGGTCGCGCACGGGCCTCTTGGTGATGTAGCGGGAGCCGTCGCTGCGCACCTTCACCTTCCACTCGGTGGCGCGGGGCTCGGGCGGGGGGCCCAGGTCCTTGCACACCCCCAGCAGGCTCACCTGGCTGTGCGCGTACTCCACCGCCGACTTCTGCTGCACCAGCTGCATGTAGCTGCGGTAGCGCCGCGCGTGCGCCGGGATGTGGGCCAGCTTGTGGGGCGCGGGCGCCAGGGGTGCGGGGCTGGGGCTGGGGCCGGGGCCATCCTCCCCTGGGCTGCGGCGGCGGGGCTCCGGGCTCGGCGGGGCCCTGGGCAGGTCTGCCTCCTCCGTGATGCAGAGCGGGCTCTCCGGCGATGGCCCGCAGGCCCCTGGGGTCGCCGCCTCGGGCCCCCCTCTCCGCAGGGAGCTGTCGGGGGACGTGTCCAGGGCGAGCGGGGTGCTCCGGCAGCTCTCCCCGGTGTTGTAGGCGCTCGAGCTGTCCTTGTCCGACTTCTCAGGGAGCTCGGTGATGTCGGAGAGCTCGTGGCGGCGGCGCCCGCCCTCGGCCTCCGTGGCGTCGCCGCCGCCGCGGAAGCCCCCGGGGGGCGGCAGCGTCCAGGCCTCGCGCAGCTGCCGGGCCCGGTGGGCGCGCACGACGCTCAGGCACTCGAGCTCGATGCTGCGCAGCTCGGCGTTGAGCAGCTCCAGCTCCCGGTCCACACTCTCGGGGGCGCCCCTGCCCGCGCCCCGCCCCGCCGGGCACCGGAGCTCCAGCAGCTCGGCGTCCAGCAGCCCCATGGGCTCCCCGGGGTCCGTGCGCCCCGCCGGGCACTTGAGCTCCAGCAGCTGTCGGAAGCTCTCGCACTCCGCGTCGTCGTCGGCGCAGTCGGCCCAGAGCAAGGACTCGCCGCTGAAGGGCAGGTCGCCGCTGCCCAGCGTGTCCTGGCTGCCCGCGCGGGTCCTCGGCGCGGCCAGGGCGGCCGGCGCGGGCGCCTCGTCGCCGTTGTTCTCCGGCTCCGAGCTCTCGTCGTTGCGCGTACTCTCGTCCGTGCGGCCCACGCCGCTGTCCTTCTCGTGCTGGGTGGACAGGATGGTGGCGGTGTCCGTGGTGCCCCCATCTTCCTCGTGCTTCTTCTGCACAAAACAAGAACCAGCGGTCACGGCCAGGGGCTACCTGTGACCTTCCCTGCAGGACACGGCTGGGCGGTGGGCCGGGCCTCCACCACTGGGCACAGGGGAGGGCTGTGGGCATGAGCCAGACCTTCCTGGGCGACCACTGATGCCGCTGGAAAAAATGAGGGGACAGCCGAAACCGGTTTGGCTCAGTCGATAGAGCTGCGGACTGAAGTGTCCCGGGTTCGATTCCGGTCAAGGGCATGTATAATACATTGGTTTCGGGCACATCCCCGGTGGGGGGTGTCCAGGAGGCAGCTGGTTGATGTTTCTCTCTCATCGATGTTTCTAGCTCTCTATCCCTCTCCCTTCCTCTCTGTGAAAGTTCAATAAAATATATTTAGAAAAGAAAAAGTGAGGGGACAGCCGCCGGGTCTGGATGAATGGCCCGGAGCACTGGGCCACTTCTAGCTCCCTCCCGGTCAATGGGGTTTACGGGACCGTGGTGGTGGCATAGACGGGGCAGGGGCAGGGGCAGCTCAGGTTAAACGGGGAAGGGCTTCACGTTTGAAAAAGGGGCCATGTCTCTGCTCTACATCAGTGCCGCCCCCACGGGTGCTCTCTCCGCAAACGTGGAAGGTCAGAGGTCCCTTCCCAGTTCTGAGTGCAGGGCAGCGCTTCCCTCGGGGCCAGAAGGGCAAGCATGGCTTTCTGCTGCCTTCCAGGGGGGGAGGGAGTCTCCCGTGGTCCTTTTAGCTTCTAAGGGAGACCAGGAGCGGTTTCCTGCAGCGGGGCTGCCCGCCAGGCTGGCGAGGGCTGGGCGTGGCCAGACTAGGGCTGTGCTAGGGTGGGCGCGGCCTGGCGAGGGCGTGGTCAGCTGAGGGCTGTGCTAGGCTGGGCGTGGCCTGGCGAGGACTGGGCGGGGCCTGGTGAGGACTGGGCTAGGTTGGTGGATAGGCGTGGCCAGGAGAGGGCTGGGCGTGGTCAGGCCAAGGCTGTGCTAGGCTGGGCGTGGCCTGCGAGGACTGGGCGTGGTCGGGCAAGGGCTGTGCGAGGCTGGGCGTGGCCTGGCGGGGGGGGGGAGGATGGGCGTGGCCAGGCGAGGCCTGGGAGGGCATGGAGGGCAGCATGGCCTTACCTGCTGCAGCGCGCTGGCCGTGAACTGCATGGCCTGGTGGTGCTGCTCCTCCAGCATGTCCATGTGCAGGTCGTCCAGAAAGTCGTTCCTGTCGTCGTCCATCCAGCCCTCGTCCAGCTGGGGGAAAGCGGCACGCCTCAGAGGAGAGCCCTCTTGCTCTCATTTAATTCACTCATATTTTTTAAGAAAAGACATTTCCTTGGGGAAAAACATTTCCAGGGCAGTCTGCCTGCTGTTTGCTATATTCCAGGAAACGCCCTGCCTCACCCCGTCTGGGGGGCGCGCGCGCGCGTATGTGTGTGTGTGTGTGTGTGTGTGTGTGTGTGTGTGTGTATGGTCCCGTGTCTGCTGTTTCCTTTTGCAGGGTGGAACCCCTTCTCTCACATCAGCTATTTTCAGACCTCGGTGCAGGGCCAGGTACAGCAAGCCCTGCAGGGGCCCTGCCTGCCGGCCCACACCAGCAGCAGCGCCCCCTCTTCCTTGTCCAGGAAAGAGCAGACCCTTCAGGGGCCCTTGATCGGCAGCCCAGGTTCCAAATCTGGCCTTTTATATGTTTTAATTAAAAATTTGTGGACAAATGTTCCTCTCTCTCTCTCTCTCTCTCTCTCTCTCTGTCTCTCATTTTACACATGGGCAGCCAAAGGAAGGCCAAGGAATTTAAGCATCACCTTCTCTGCTGACACCCTGAAGCCAGAGTTTATTGCAATTTGCTCCTTTCCTGACGAGGTTACACTGAGCCCCTTGGACAGGGAATCACCTTGGTGTCTTTCATTAAAAAAAAAATAAAATAAAAATTGTTCTATGTTTAAGGGAGACATCATGATTTGATAAACGTAGTGCAATCATTATAGCAGTCAAGCTAATTAACATCACTCACAGTCACTTTTTTGTGTGGTAAGAGCACCTGCCACATTCTCTCGGCACATTCGCAGACGTCAGGGCAGTATGGTAAATCTGGCACGCACGGTGCTCCCCCTGCAGCTGTGACTGAGACACAGCGCTAGGCGGGGACCTAGGTCAGGTCTTGACCTCCAACATCTTGAAGGTCGCGACCCTGGTGCCTTCCATTCCACGTTTTCCTCCTCTCCCTCTCCAATCCCTGCGTTAAGGGGCCTGCTGGGCCCTCCGTGTAATTGCCGAGGCGGCTGCCAGCACCCTCCTTCCACGGTGGACACATCAAACAGATCCTGAGTCTCACAGTGAGGTTACCGCTCCAGGGCAGAGGGCCTTCACGTTCGGACCCGATCCCGGGGCCGTGTCCTGCAGGGACGGACAGGGCTGTGTCCGGTCTTTGGTTTGTGCTCGGGAAGCGGACTCACCTGGAGCTCGGGCCTTGCGATGAGCAGGGAGAAGTTCTTGTTCTCCTCGCTGGTTAGCAGGGCCACGGCCTCCTCGCGGTTGCGTACCTCTATCCCGTTAATCTTGAAAAAGAGAGAGAGGGTCGAGGGTGGTCAAACGCAGAAGTAGATCACGCAGAATCACCCTATGCTACTCCATCCGTTACCCGCGTGGGCCTACAACATGGAAGGTCCTGGGAGCTCGGAGAGAATGCTCCTTCTCAGGGGGCTCTGCCTGGATGGAGGCAGCGGCTGGCCCAGGACGGAGCCCCGGGGTCCAAGGCCAGGGCACTGTGGAGGCCATGTGGACGGAGCATGTGAAGAGGAACATGTGAGCAGCTGACTCAGACGTGAGACTCGGGCAGGACTACAGGGGGAGGATGAAGGGTTATTACAGGTGTTTTAGGCCAGTAGTGGGCAAACTCATTCGTCCACAGAGCCAAATATCAACGGTACAATGACTGAAATTTCTTTTGAGAGCCACATTTTATTTATTTATTTATTTATTTATTTATTTATTTATTTATTATTTTTTAAACATATTCAAACTTCTTCTAATGCTATTTCTTCAAAATAAGAGTCGCCCAGGCTGTGGTATTTTGTGGAAGAGCCACACTCAAGGGGCCAAAGAGCCACATATGGCTCAGGAGCCCCAGTTTGCCAACCATGGTTTTAGACTAATACGGGAGAAGCAGCAGTGGCAGGTCTGATGGGAGCGTTATGGAAGCTGAGGGCAGAGAAGGAAATGGGGTTACAAGGGGGCCTGGGTCCCAGCCTGGGGCAGGGCAGGCGGTCAGGGGAGGGGCTCTCTCACCATCACCCCTGGGAACCGTCCCGCAGGAGTCCGGCTGCTTGTCCTGAGAATTTGGGGCTCTGCTGGTCTGGCCCCGGGGTGGGCGATTCCTCCAGGGGACATGGCTGGTCCCACTGAGCTGGGAGGTGAGACTCCCACCAACTCCTACGCCTGTGCCCAACAGGCCCGCGGAGGGCTGACTCCACGGCTGGGGTGATGGGTCCCGGTTACCAAGGAGAATGGGGTGGCTGAGACCACGGGGGCATGCCGAGTGGTACATGCTGCTGGAGACCCACAGCAACCACAGGAAGGCTGAGCCGACCTGAAGGTTTGGGGGCACCCCACCCGATGGGGTCCCTGAGCAGCCAGAGTCTGGGTTGAGGTCTGAGGAATGTCGAATAAGCAGTGGAAAATGACAGAAATCACTCACGGTGAGGAATGTCAGGACAGATATAAACACCGTAGCTCAGAGCACCAGGTGAGCTGGCTCCGCTGGGGTGTGGGGCACTGCCCTCTCGATGGGGTGCCCCGCCCCACTGTCCCTGTCCTCAGGGCTCCCTGTGCATTTACTGTCCAGGGCTGGGCTTCACCCACTAGGCCAACTCGTCTGGCCTCCCTGCACCCCTGGCTTGTGGCCCCCGTTCTTTAACCCTGAGCTGTTACTACAACCAGATTGATCTTCGCTGACAGGCAGGGCGAGGCCGACCTACCTGGATGATGCGGTCGCCTTCCTGGATGCGGCCGTCCTGGGCCGCGATGCTGTTGGGGTCAATCTGGAAAAAACAGCGACCGTCTCAGCACCGGGCAGGTAGTGCAACGCGCACAGACACACGGCCCTACCCAAAGCCGGCGCCAACACAGCCAGGCTCCTGCCTACACTGGACCCCGAGACACAAGGGAGCAAACACGGGTTGATCCACGTGTCCAAGCACTTTCCCGGGCGTGTCCTCCAGGGCCCTGCCGGGCAACCCCGCCCCACGGCCTATGTCCTGGCCCTCCCGGCCTCGGGGACATGGGGCCCAGCGGACTCTGGCTGCAAAGAAATGAAAATCGCTACAGTGACCAGCAACCGTGCCTTGATTCCTTTACCATATGTTTCTTTAATACATTTTGGAAAATGACTTTAAAACTGAAATGGTCTGGTCTGGCTCAGTGGATAGAGTGCTGGCCTGTGGACTGAAGGGTCCGGGTTTCGATTCCAGTCAAGGGCACATGCCCGGGGTTGTGGGTTCCATCCCTGGTGGCGGGCGTGCAGGAGGCAGCCAATCAATGATTCTCCATCTTTGATGTTTCTCCCCCCCGCCCCCTCTGAAATCAATAAAAATATATAAAAACAAAACTAAGCCGAAACCGGTTTGGCTCAGTGGATAGAGCGTCGGCCTGCGGACTGAAAGGTCCCAGGTTCAATTCCGGTCAAGGGCATGTACCTTGGTTGCGGGCACTTCCCCAGGAGGGGGTGTGCAAGAGGATGTTTCTCTCTCATCGATGTTTCTCACTCTCTATCCCTCTCTCTTCCTCTCTGTAAAAAAATCGATAAAACATATTTAAAACAAAACAAAATAAAGAAAACAAAGTCCACAAAAACAAACAAACAAAAAACCTAAGTATACTAGTACTTGAGACACAAGGACTGACTGTGGGAAAGAGACCCTGACGGCAGTGCTGATGGACCCGCTGGAGCCGATGGATGGAGGACATTCTTTCGGAGGGAAGGCTACTGAGCCGGAGACACACCCACATCCACCCCACCGAGACAGCTCCTCTCCCCACAGAATCCGTGCTGGGGTCACTGGCCGTGCAGCCTTCTCTGGAAGACCAAACAACATCTGCCTCCCTGATCTGAAGACCAGCCAACGTGTCTGACTCCGACTGCACACCTCCCACCAAAGGAAGGAGAGGGAGAGAAACACGTGGCCCGTGGAAGGATCCCGCCCGCCCATCCGATGAGCACGCCACCGGCAATGCCAGGCGGCCGCTCCCTCGGGGTGGAGCACACACAACCGTCCTAGGGCCGGTCCGTAGGGTCTGTAGGCTTCCCCGGGGCAGTGTCCCCGTCGGTGCTGACATCAGGACATGACCCGGGGAAGACGGGACTCCATGGAGGGTGGTGAAGGGGACAGAGAAGCGTGCCTGGGTCTTCCGAAGGGATTCGCAGGGAGGCGGAGTGAGGGCTGGTTACCCCAGGAGAGAAAGACAACCCCCCACCCCCTCGGTCCCGCCGTGCTCGCCGCGAAGAACTGCCCTCCTACCTCGCTTATGTAGATGCCGAGGTCGTCCTCGTCATCCGTGCGGTAACACACGGTGAGGCCCAGCTTGTCCTGGCTGTTGGCGCGGTACAGGTCCACCTCCTGCAGGGAAAGGCCCCATGAGACCCCCATGCACAGGGCGGCCGCCGCCGGGGCCTCGGGCGCTTTGAAAATACTTCGTTCAGATGATGGACTGGATTTCTTTGCAGCCGACTAGGAGAGGGGGTAACCTACCCAGCCCAAAGCGATTATGGACTCGGGATCAATGCACGGGGCATTTTTGACTTTTCCGTCAATAGAAAGTCATTTTGGAAATAGTTATTATATTGATCCCCCCTCAAAAGAAAAATTACCTATATTTCACTCAACGTTAAGACGTCGGGGGCAGGGCTTTGAAAAGCACTCCTTCCACGTCTGCCACAAACAAGAATGTTCCCATGCCCCCCACTGTCCGGCCGTTTTACGACGTGTGGTTAGAACAGTGGTCGGCAAACTCATGAGTCCACAGAGCCAACTACCAACAGGACAACGATTGAAATTTCTTTGGAGAGCCACATTTTTTTTTAAAGTTAAATTTCTTTGGACGCCACTTCTTCAACACAGACTCGTCCAGGCCGTGGTATTTTGTGGAAGAGCCGCACTCAAGGGGCCAAAGAGCCGCGTGTGGCTCGCAGAGCCGCGGTTTGCCGGCCACCACGGGGTTAGCTGACTTCAGGCTGTGCTGCCTTACTATTCACGGTAACAGAACTTGCAAACGGATCCGAGAGAGGAGGGGAACGTGATCGCAGCCATGGCTGCTCCCCATGGCAGCCGTCACAGCCATAGCCCAGAATTACCTTCAGCCGCCAGGACCGCAGATTAAATGAGGAGAGCCTGTCAGGGAGACCCCTGAGCGCAGGGATGCTGCCCTGTCTGCCAATCAGTCCCACTGCAGAGCGCAGGCAGCTCTGGGGACGGCCGGGGCCCGGGAGGAGGTGCTGGGGCCCGGAGCGAGCTGACCAGGCGGCCTCCTGCCCTCTCCTGGGTGCAGCCACACCAGGACGATTCTGCAGCCGTTTTCCCCCCCGCCCCCCAAGGGCTGTTGGGGTGCTCCCAGCGGCAGGTCCCTGGGTCTGGATTTAGTGTTATCTGCTCAACAACCCATGAAGAGGGCCTCTGAGGGTCTTTGGGAACAAAGCCTTCCCTCCAGCCTCTTGGTCTGTCTTTGGGGTGAAGCTTAAAGGAGGGTCTGTCTTTGGGGGGAAGCTCAAAGCGGTTGTGTAGCAGCTACTTCCTAACTTTCCCTGGAAAAGGCTGGGTGCCCACTGCCATGGACGCCACGAGGCAGAACAGCAGGTGCCTGGGCCCTGGCCCAGGGGGGCCGGCGCTCTGGGTGCCAGGACCGGGGGCGGGCTGCGTGTGGCCGGCGGGAAGGCTGGACCAGGGAGGGCCCTACGCCCGGCGGGAGAGCTCATGCTTTCTTTGAGCGTCGTGGGACACCGTGACACATTCCTTGGTCACCGCCATGTCCTGCACCCCTGCCTCTTCTTGGCCCGGTGGAGTGTAATGTGGGGAAGAGCCAGGCTGGGCCGACCTCCAATCCCAGCTCTGCCTCTATCTGGTGGCTTCCTCGGAGCTCATCACGGCATCCCCGCCTGTGTCCTCACCGCGGTGCTGGCCAGGGGAGTGAAGGCGGCTTTCGGGCAATTTCTAAGCAGACGGGGTATCTGGGGGCTCCGGGGGAAGGGCAGTGTATCAGGAGTTTTGTACATTCTCAGCATTTCCTCCTGACGATGAGCACACCACCGCAGGCATGGAGCTGGTCATGCCTCTGTCTGTGGCGCTGGAGCTACACTCTCCAAGCCCGGGAATCAGACGGGATGAATAATGCAAGGCTCCCCGGGTCACCGCCCCTCCTTCCCACGTCTCCCCCCCACACACGGTCCTGTTGCCTCTCGTCTAGATGGCTCCCCGGATAACAAGGAGCGGCTCCGCCTGACATTTCAGACGCGCTGAAAGACTGAAACGCTAGTCCAATTAATAGAGTGAAGAGGGGCCCTTCCCCCGCGGGAGCCATGCTCTCCGTGTCCCCGCCCGACACTTCCCTCGAGGGCCCCAAGATAAGATGACCAGATCGTCCCGCTTTTGGCGGGATAATGTCAACTTTCAACAATTTTTCCCGTGTCCCGTGGCTTTAAAAAAAAAAAAAAGTCCCGATTTTTGGAAAGATTGGAAAGATTCTTTCCAAAAATCGGGACTTTTTTAAATGCCAAGGGATGCGGGAAAAATTAAGAATCGGGATTGTCACACCAAAAGCAGGACGATCTGATCACCTTACCAAGGACCCATGGGACGGCTGGTCCACCTGTAGCGGGACGGTCCCTGAGGCACAGTCCTGCCCGCGTTGGCCCAGGACGCCGCTGTGCACGCTTCTTTACGTGATCTCAGCACCTCCTCTCGGCAGCGGGATGGAGAGCTGCCCCCAAAAGGCGGCATTTCCCTTCACCTTGGCTGACCTCCAACTGACCTTACGTTCAGCTTACGTGCGGGATGGGGTACCACGCCCCGACGCCTCCACTCAGCAAGAACTTGCCGGTGCCCGAGCCAGGCCAGCACACCCCGGCAGGAGGAGTGTGAGGGAGTCGGCCCCGAGCCCAGCACTTGTGGGCCAGAAATTCAGCAGATCCATAACTCTACCCTTATGTTATCTGAGGCCAAAGAGGACGGAAGGTTCTAGACGCCGTGCAATGCCAACTGGCCTCTGTGTTGCGGGCCACGGGGTCGGCCATCCGGATGCCCTTGGAGCAGTGGGCCGCTGTCCTTTGCAAAGAAATCTGCCGGGAGCCCCCGGTCTGTGCGTCTAGAGGACTGACTAGTGTTCTCCCTGCCCCCACGCCGCACCCTCACCTCCAGTTCCAGCTCCTCCCTGTCCAGGTCCTGGTGGGCGCCGCCCAGGTAGTCGCTGGGGTCGTAATACTCGTGGGCCGAGGGGTGCCTGCAAGGAGAGGAGCAGCGGTGAGGTGCCCCTGCGGTTACTGGCCACTTGCCCCTCCCCCTCCCTCCCCTGGCACAGGCCCGCCAGGCAGGCAGCGGGTCCCCCGTCACCCACACCTCCCGCTGTGATTCCCAGCCTGGAGGGTGCGTGGGTCGGCCAGTGGGGCCCCTCGCTTGGTGTCTATTACGAAGCACCTCCCACATCCCCTCCTGGCGCCCCCACTGGCGGTGATTAAACGTTACCCCGAAATAACTTTATACGACGTTAGCGATTTGGCTCTTAGACTACCATTTGAGTGACTCGGCTCCGGGGTGATAATAAAGTAATTAATGTGTCACAGGATCCGATTTATCGCTCCCTTAGACAAAGAAGGGGAGGAGGGAACCCTGGGGTGTGGCACGGGGGCAGGGGTGGGGGGCGCTTACTCCTCAGGCAGGAGGTAGGGCCCCAGCGCGGGCGGGCTGGGGGGCGACAGCTTGGCGAGGGCCATGATGTGCTCGAAGGTGATGTCCGTCTGGGTGCCCGCGTCCACCAGCTGCGCCTCGGACGGCGCCGGGAAGGTCCTGGCCCGCGGCGTCCGCCGCAGCACCTGCACCACGATGGGCTCCTTGGCCGTCCGGAACGCCTCCACCGCCTGGTCATGGGTCGCCCGGGACAGGTCTTTGCCGTTGACCTGTGGAAATATTTAGGGGAGGGAACACACAGGATGCTCAGGAAGCAGGATCCGGGAAGATGGTTTTCACGTGCGAGCGGCCAGCGGGAGGGCCGCATGGGGACGTCCAGTCCCCCACGCTCGCTCTCTCCCCATCTCAGGTCCCCGGGGAGGGCCCGGTGGGAGGGCGAGCTGGCGGGTCTGCGGATGTGGCATCCATACCAGACCCACAGCCCACAGGGGGACGTCCTGGCTTCCCACTGGGATGTCTTGAACATAAGGTGACCAGACGTCCCGCTTTTGGCGGGACAGTCCTGATTGAGCCTGAGGCCGCGCTCTGTACGCGCTGCTGTTAAAGTAAGGTGACCAGATGTCCCGCTTTTGGCGGGACAGTCCTGATTTTCAACAATGTGTCCTGCATCCCTCGGCGTTTTAAAAAAGTCCAGATTTTTATTTTTATTTTAAATCAGGACTTTTTTAAAACGCCGAGGGACACATTGTTAAAAATCGGGACTGTCCCGCCCGAAGCGACACGTCTGGTCACCTTACTTTAACGGCAGCGCGTACAGAGCACGGCCTCAGGCTCGATCGGGGCTCACAGTGAACTGGAAATTAGCCACACGGCCACGCAGCAATGGCGGGCATTTCCCTAGCCCGTGCCAGGGGGCATGACTGTTCCTTTCCTGCAAGGGACAGGAAGCTGCCTTTTGAAATGAATCCCTTTTGCTTTTCCTTAAAGGGCAGCTGGACATAGGCAGCCACAGGCGGGCTCGGCGGGGAGCTCCCAGGAGCTCGGGTGGCCCCACTGCGGGAAAAACCCAGCAGCCCCTGTAGTCGCCGGGTGTTTCTGAGTGTGCGCAGCCCTCGTGCCTGCCCTTCTCGCCCCAGTCCTCGCCTCCCTCCCCCCCGAGCGTCCGGGAACCATGGGGAGGCCGCCTGGGTGGTTAGGACGTTGGTGTTGCCCCCCGATTCTCCCTATTCTCTCCAGTGGCACCCTCAGAACTCACTCCCCCCCCCCCCCCCACCCCCGGCTGCGTCCGGAACAGCTCACAGCTGAACCGTTTCTGGAAAATGAAGTCGCTTTCTCCCCCCCCCCCCCCCCTTGCATCCCCCGAGGTGGAGGAACACGGTAGCCTGTCCACGTAGTTTGGTTACATCTGGTGATGGCACTGCACGGACACCCTCGGGCCCCAAACTACTTAGGGATAAGGACTTACTAAGAAACCAGGGGCTCAAGGGACCGGTACCAGGATGTCACATTTTCCCAGGAGGCAATAATCTATCCATCAAAGGAGCAAAACGCAGCCTCGTCTGAGGGCCTGAACAGCCTCTGTGCATGGAGAGGCTCCCTCCCTGCCCATCTCACGGCCCCGACACCCACACCGTCCATCCTCGGATGTCCAGGGCCTCGTTAGGGGGCCACAGACAAATGGTCCCGGGCTGGCCGCTCGCCGCGCAAGCTCTTGACGAGGCGCCGCGGGACCATTACCCTCTCCTAACAGCCGATGAGACGCACGGGAGTCCCTCGCCCAGACGACCCATCCATTCTCGCAGCCAAATTCGTTTTGAATTACCTTGTGCACATAACACTTATTGCTCTGCCGTCTCGGAATCGCGTCCCTGAGAGACGGGCGGCAGCGAGGTGATGACTCCTGCGAGGCGATGACTCCCGCTGCCACCGACCGCGGCGACAGCCGCCCCTCCCCGGCGAGCACCGCGGCCTCCTTACGTCCGCCTTGGAGGCGGCCTCCATGGCAGGAGGGATGCTGGGCCAGGCGGGGCTGGCCCTGCCGGCGGGGCGGGTGCAGGATCGCCCCACTGAGCAGGTGCTTCTACAACAGTCTACGCGGCCCTGCACCCCGGTCAACGGAATGTTCTGGAACGAGCAAATGTCGGCTGCAAAGTTTGTCTCTATTACAAATGAAATGCGTAAGTTCTTCACCGCGGGCTCCGGCACGGAGGTGGTGCAATTACGGCGGAAATCCAATCAGCCTGTCTCTGGGCACACATCGCGGCCGCAAATACGACGTGACACTAAGGGACTCCAGTGTCCTCGCATGGAAGGCCTCCGGAGACGAGATGATCGAGCTGAGGGCATGGGGCGGTTCCTTCCCAGGTCCCGTGCCTGCAACCCCTTCCCGCGTGCCGAGGACTAAGGCAGAGCTGGGGGCTTGTCCATTTGGGGGTACATTTTTACTGACAGCCCACCTGCCCACCTGTCCGTCACTCACTCACTCACAGGAAGCACCTGCTGAGGTTCCTGGGACCTGTCCCCTCCTGGCATGCCCCTTGGGAGAGGTCCTGGGGCAGAAGTGAGGCCCCGCTGCCCTCGCTGGGGCACCGGCTGAGCCCTGAGCCCTGACACAGGCTCCACTCACCGTCTCTGAGAGAGCCCGCCGGTCGGAGGCTCTCACCCCCCTGTGTCTCCTTCCCACAGGGAGCCTGGAGCCTTGCGGAGTTCTCCGGGGCCGGAGGGCCAGCCGCTCAGGACGTGAGTGAATAGGACACTCGGAAAAGATGGCCCACTCCCTCCAGATTAAAAAGTAAGAGTCTTTCTGTGGGAAGACACTGGTTTCTGAGGACCCGAGCCCGGGGGTCACCTGTCTCCATCACACGTGCCGATGGCCCAGGAGAAGTGCTAATGCCATTTCAAACCCCGCCCAATTCCGCCCCTGGGTGAAACCCCGCGTTTATGGGATCCGTTTAATGAAATTAAGGGGCAGTGATTTCGTTCTGCAAAACATCACACCCGTGTTCCCAAGCGAATTAAAACGTAGTCTCCACTGGAAGCAAGAGGTGACCATACACCATACACTGGAAAGGGAAAGGGCCGGCTTGGGTTACGAAGGTTCCTGGAGGGACAGCGCCCCTGTGGTGACACAGGCAGTGACAGGACAGGGCGCCACGGGAGACGCCTGGAACGCGGGGTGAGCCTGGAGCGCCCCCTGCACGGACAGCTGCACGGGGAGGGCGAGAGCAGTACTGACCCACCCCCAGCGAGATGTACCCCGGGTGGCCAGGTGTCCCCGGAGCCCCTGGTTCCTCCTTTGGGGAAAGAGAAGCCAGGGGGATGCCCAGCACCCCCAGCACTAGGGTCACGTGGTGGGAGCCCCCACTCTGATTTCCAGCCCCAGGGAGTCCGTGGGCTCCGCCGCTGGGAATGGGCCTGGGGAGAAGGTGAGGGACCGGCGGCCACCCCACGGGGACCCCGAACCTCGCAGACGGAGGCACGCCCACAATGGCAGGCAGCAACCCAACCCGAGGCTCTGCTCATGGGCAGGGCCAGGTGGGTGACTCTGACCTGGGCCCTCGCGGGTGCAGACCTGCCTGGGTCAGAGACTCAAAGGAGCCAGCTAGCTGTTGGCGGCCCCGGTCCCGGTGGGTCCAGCCCGCAGGGAGCTGAGGCCCAGTCCCCTCTGAAAGAAAGGCCGCTGGCCACTGAGACCCGAGAATAAGATAGGACACTCTTGTCAGAAGAAACCACGGATCCTTTCCGGGCCTCAGTGTCCTCCTCTGTAAGTCGGGGGAGCACTCTAGATGCTGATGAAGGATGATGACTTTGAACGTAGGACTGTCACTCCCTATGGCAGAGCCACATGCGGCTCTTTGGCCCCTTGAGGGTGGCTCTCCCACAAAAATACCACGGCCTGGGCGAGCCTATTTTGAAGTAATGATGTTAGAAGAAGTTTAAGTTTAAAAATTGTGACTCTCAAAGAAATGTTCATTGTTGGCCTATTGATGTTTGGCTCTGTGGACGAATGAGTTTGCCGACCAGGGGCCTATGGAGACCCAGGTGAAAGCATCCTGACTTCAGTTTCTGGCCCTCAGTGCAGTCACAGGACAGCCTCCCGCCGGGCAGGGGTCCTGCAGACACGCCCCCCCCTTCTCCGTCGGTCTCAGCCCAGCGGCCCACAGACAGCCTCTGGCCACCCGGAGACACGCTGTTTCTGGACCGGAGTGCATGCCAGCGCGCTGCTGGGCCAACAATACCCACCCGGCGGACGGCTGGCCGGCACCCAATTCTGAGCTCTCTCTCCAGCTGCCGGGCTGTCAGGGAGGCCCAGGAAGGAAGCGAGGGGGACTGCTTTGCCGTCGGCAGGGGTCCGGGAAGTGGCGGGCGGACTCCAGTCCCTGTGACGGAGAAGCACCGGCAGCATTTCCCACGATGATGGATGAGACGTGGGTCGGATTTGTTAGAAACCAACCAGAAGCCAATCCCCTGGGAAAGGAATTAATGGGCCAAACACTTGGTAATGCAATTAGGAGATGAGAAAAGGGAGGGGTTTCCAGAGGGGATGGCGGAGAGCAGTGTGGGTGGGGGTTCTGGTTATGCCACGCTGAAGGCCGGGCAAAGAACGCAGCCCGCTTTTTATTTTTATTTTTTTAAAATATATTTATTGATTTTTGTACAGAGAGGAAGGGAGAGAGATAGTTAGAAACATCAATGAGAGAGGGTCATTGATCAGCTGCCTCTTGCACACCCCCTACTGGGGATATGCCCGCAACCAAGGCACATGCCCTTGACTGGAATCGAACCCGGGGCCCTTCAGTCCCCAAGCCGACGCTCTATCCATTGAGCCAAACTGGTCTTGGCTTTTTTTTTTTTTTTTTTAATATATTTTATTGATTTTTTTTTTTTTTTTTTTACAGAGAGGAAGAGAGAGGGATAGAGAGTTAGAAACATCGATGAGAGAGAAACATCGATCAACTACCTCCTGCAACACACCCTACTGGGGATGTGCCCACAACCAAGGTATATGCCCTCGACCGGAATCAAGCCTGGGACCTTTCAGTCCGCAGGCCAACACTCTATCCACTGAGCCACACCGGTTTTGGCATCAGCCCACTTTTTATATATTTTATTGATTTTTATAGAGAGGAAGGAGAGGGATAAAGAGTTAGAAACATCGATGAGAGAGAAACATCGATCAACTGCCTCCTGCACACACCCTACTGGGGATGTGCCCACAACTAAGATACATGCCCTCGACCGAAATCGACCTGGGACCCTGGAGTCTACA